AAAAGAAAAGAAAGTATTTCATTGTTGCTTTGCAAAGACAATGAATTCTTCATGCACAGGTTCCCCCATGTCTCATTTATTTAATTCCTCGATTAATATGTCTCAATTTATCTATTTTATTCCTTAATTAATTATGGCCTTGGCCAATCCATCTCATTGAGAGTTTTCTATTTTTTATTGCCTATTTACTGGTGTGGTGCTGTGGGCTAATGCGTCAGACTGCAAAGTCGTTTGAACTTCAAAGTCAGTGGTTCAAGCTCACCAGCTGTTCCTTGGAAACCCTATACAGGGTCGCTATGGGTTGGAATCGACTCAACTGCACTTAGCAACAACAATATTTACTTTACCAAGCAAGATGTTCTTCTCCTGGGAGTGGTCAGAAGAATGTGAAGTATGGGAGACAAAATCTGCCCATCCCCATTTGAAGGAGCATTCTAGCTGTACTTCTTTCAACATACATTTATTTCTTATTCTGGCAGTATGTGGTACTTTCAGTATTTTTCATCAACAACATAATTCAAATGCATAGATTCTACTCTAGTCTTCCTTATTCTTTGTACAGCTTTCCCATGCATATGAGGCAATTGAAAACACCATGGCATAAGTAAGGTGCACCTTATTCTTCAAAGTCAAATCCTTGCTTTTTAACACTTGAAAGAGATCTTTTGCAGTTGATGTGTACAGTGCGATATGTTATTTGATTACCTGACTGCTGCTTCCTTTGGCATTGATTTTGGATCCAAGTATAATGGCATTCTTGAAAACATCAATCTTTTCTCCATTTATTATGATGTTGCTTACTGGCCAAGTTGTGAGAATATTTTCCTTCTTTATGTCGAGACATAAACTGTATTGAATGCTGTAGACTTGAATCTTCATCAATAAGGGCTTCAGATCCTCTTTTCTTTTATAAGCAAAGTTGTGTCTTCTGCATATCAAAGGTGTTAATGAGTCTTCCTCCAATCTTGACGCCACATTTCTCTTCATAAAGTCCAGTTTCTCAGATTACTTGCTCAGCATACAGATTGTGTAAATCTGATGAAAAGATACAACACTGATGCCTATTTTGTCTTATTTTATACCAGGGATTCTACCCTTATTTGGAGTCCTGGTGTGGTGCTGTAAGACAAGCACTGGACTGTTAACCACAAGTTGGTGGTTCAAATTCACTAGCAGCATCTTGGAAACTCTATTCAGGGTCTCTGTGAGTTGGAACCAACTCATGGACTCTCAACAGCAACAATAAAACTTATTCTTTTTTAAACAACTGCCTCTTAGTCTTTGTACAGATTTCACAAAAACATAATTAAGTGATCTGGAATTCCTATTCTTGGCCACATTATCCATCATTTGTTAAGATCTGTACAGTGGAATGCCTTTGCATAGTCAATAATGCAGAGGTAAACATCTTTCTGATATTCTCTGCTTTTAGCCAAAATCTATCTAACATTAGCAATGATATCCCTCATTCCACATCCTCTTCTGAATTTGGCTTTGAATTTCTGGAAGTTTCCTGTTGATGTATTGCTGCAAGCAATTTTAAATTATCTTCAGAAAAAAATATGTTTCAGTGTTATATTAGTGATACTGTTTAATCATTTCCACTTCTGCTGAATCACTTTTATTTAAAATGGGCACAAATAATAATTTCTTTCAGTGAGTTGACCAGGTAGCTATTATCCAAATTTCATAGTATAGATAAGTGAGTACCTATATTGCTGCATCTGTTTGTTGAAACATTTCAATTAGTATTCTGTCAATTCCTGGAGCCTTGTTTTGCACCAACACCTTCAGTGCAACTTAGACTTTTTCCTTCAGTACCATCGATTCTTGATTACTTGGTACTTCCTGAAATGGTTAATCATCACCCCATTAATTTTGATACCGTGACAATGTATATTCCTTCTTTCATCTTTTGCTGCTTCCTACATCATTTAATATTTTGCCCATACACTCATTCAGTATTACAACTCCAGGCTTTAATTTTTTCTTCAGTGCTTTCAGATTGAGAAATGTTAAACATGTTTTAACCTTTTGGTTGTCTAACTGCAGACCTTTGCATATTTCATTATTCTTTAGTTTGTCTTCTGAAGCTGTCCTTTGAAATCTTCTGTTCAGCTCTTTTATTTCATCATTTCTTCACTTCACTTTAGCTTCTCTACATTCTAGAGCAAGTTTCAGAGTCTCTTCTGACATCCATTTTTGTCTGTTCTTTCATTCTTGTCTTTTTAATGAATTTTGG